GAGATTCCCTAGAGATCTAATGATAATATTCACTTGTAATTAGTTTGTTGAGGAGTCTCATCTTGTTGGGGTTTATACCAACGTAAAATGGTTTTATTTTCCCTACTCACTGCTTTCCACTGTATTGTGTTGAATCCTACTTTCCTGCTGGGAAGCAAGTTCCTTAGCAACAACTAATTTCCTTTCATTTTCAATTATTAGTAGAGTCTCATTGGGGTATTTAAGACCTAGTCCCATTCATTTAAAAAAAGATTAATCTTAAATTTGATTCAAAGTGTATTCTCCTCCTCCTCAGTTCTTTGGAGTGTGTGTGTGTGTGTGTGTACGGTTCTGAGATACCTCTCCTTCTCTCTTCTAGGACCTAGTTCCTCTGGAGTTGGGAGCTGAGAGGAGGCTGAGGGCTTTTGGCAGGATCGTGAGAATGTCAGGGGTGGGCAGGCCTCTGGCCACTCTCACCCTGGTTTGGACAGGTTCTTTCTGATGCGGTGGTCTCTGTTGAAATGGTCTCTGCATAGTGTTGTGTGTAGTCTTCTTGGGGTAAGACCATTTCCTCCACTTCCACCCCTGCAGATAAGCTTCCTGTCCTCCCTTGGCCTTTCAGTGCTCACAACATCATCCTTTTCTCCAGGTTGGCCACATCGTAACTTGGGTACCCCTCATGCACCTGGCCTTTAGTACTTCCTCGCCAGGGATGAGGGGAGCCCCTGGAGCATTCTTCTGTCTCCTGAGAACTGAGCAGACCTGGATGGGGTGGGGCCTCCCCATCTTCCTACCAGGCACACCACATTGGGTCCCATGGGAATTTCTAGATTTCACTGGGCATCAGGCTCCATGTTCACACAAACCTCAAGTTTCAGAGGACACCTGTCAAGGGTCCCCTCATCTCCCCCATAGCACGCCGTACTCCTGGGCTTCCAGACGCTCTCCCAGGGCCTGTCTCTATTGCTCCAGTCTGGTGACAGCACCAGGGGGAGCAGGGCGTCCTGCTGCTACGCAAGCGTCCAGATGGGAAAGGAGAGGCCAGACCCTGCTTCTTGAGGGCGCCTGCAGTCCTTACAAGTGATTCTTGTGGCGCAGCCTTCCCTCCTCCAAGGAGAAGGAACGGGGCCTTTGCTTCTCACCCCAGCCTTCCCCACAATCCTGCATGTCTGATTCCCTGTTGGACTGGTAGGTGAAGTTTGGGGATGGGGTGGGAAGGGTAGTACGAGGGGGGTTTGTTGGTGGTAGAGCCATTTCTGCCGTTTCTTCACAAGCCCTGCAGGGAGATGGTTGGCTCCAACTGCTGAGAGCTTTCTCTAGAATGTGGAGTACTTAAGTGACTTTAGTTGTAGGCCAGAGCAGTTTTAGGACACTGGGATATGATGCTTATTACATACATGTTATGGCATGTACTCAGAGATAGATGCATAATGATATGTGGGTATATGTCCTAGGCCCTAGAAAGATCAGGACACGCCTCTGTCATTCTTCTCATGTATAATTCACAAAAAGCCCGCTAACCCACAACAAGGACAGAGAAGTGCAACACATTTTGATTTTTCCCATGACAATTTTTATTTTTCCAAATGTCAAATCTCAAAGTTTTAAAAAAATAGGTGTCCCTGCATTCCTGGTACCCCAAGCACTACCTACCGGTCTTACTGAGAAGGTTAAAGGAGTGAAGAAATATGAAAGTATTTTATGAGATCTATACAAATACATGCGAGTATCATAATTACATGATTGTATACGAGATTTTCTATATATAAGTACATATACCTATAAGCCTTATTTTAATTTGGTATGTGAAAATAAGCTGGTGCCTGGGATCCATTTTTTATTTCATTGCTGTACACTGATCAGTTAGGACCACAGCCGGTCCTGAGCCTGACAGACTGGGTTTTAAGCTTGGCACCGTGAGTTTAGTCAAATGGCTTAGTTTCTCTGAGCCTTAATATCCTTATCTGTAAAATGGGGGCGTCTACCTCAATGGAGTTGTGAGAATCAAATGGGCTAAGTTATATAAAAACACTTAACTTTAAAATAAAGTGGCCAATAGTAAGTTCTCAAAGATGAGCTATTATTATATACCTTGATTAACTACATGGAAAAGTGGGAAATTTCTTATTTTTTCTGTATTTGGGATATTTTTTTTAACAGAAATTAAATGGATAAAAGTAGCCTTTACTTTGTGTGAAGTTGATTTTTAAACATTTACCTTAAATAGTTACCCGGGATATGGGGGTCAGAGCGGTGTGAGAAATCTCTTGGAGTGACCAGTCAGACCCGTTCAGGGTAGCTGCAGGGCACTGCACCAGCTATTAACTTAAAGAGCAGGCTCATTAGTTACCCAGGCAGGACAGACAAGTGGAAACAGATGAGACTGTGTGCGTGGTCATTTGTATTCCCAAGGTTGTGATGCTAGGAATTCATTATTAAGTAACAGATAAGTACTGACAGGCCCGTCTTAAGATGATTCCGCTTCGCCATGGTGTGAAAGTGAAATGCGTTCAGTAGAAACGTACTTCGAATTTGGATCTTTTTTTTAGTGCACTATGCGGTGTAATTCTCTCTTGTGATGCTGAACCGCGGCAGGGAGCCATGGTCAGCCCCCCCTCGATCGCCAGGGTGAACAACTGATACACCTACAATCATTCTGTAGCTAGCCAACCATTCTGTTTTTCACTTTCAGTATGGTATTCCATGAAGTACGTGAGATATTCAACACTTTATTATAAAATAAGCTTTGTGTTAGATGAGTCTGCCCAGCTGTAGGCTAATGTAAGTGTTCTGGGTATGTTTAAGGTAGGCTAGGCTGAGCCATGATGTTTGGTATGTTAGGTGTATTAAAGGCATTTTCGACTGATGATATTTTCAACTTAACGTTGGGTTTATCACAAGGTAACCCCATTGTAAGTGGAGGAAGGTCTGTATAACTCCTTCTTCCTACCCAGACTCACACTCGTCTTTCTTCTGCAGCTTCCTGTTTACAGTCAGTTCCCCTTTGAAACGCTGCATGTTTGCAGACTGATATCGAAGGGGAAGGTTTGACCTAGTGATTCTTTTCAAATGGCTTCTCAGCATTTCATTTATTGTTTCAGCCTCATCGCTTTCCACCTTCTGATTGTGCACAGCCCTTATCAGCTTTATTGGCTTCCCCAACGCAAATTGATTTTGTTGAATTTTCTGGAACCAGAGGCAGACCGTTCATGTTTTTATTTCCTTACATCCTTTCTATTTTTATCTTTCCATTTCAAGCTTTCTTCTGAATTCATCACAGAGGCTAAGCCTTAGCAGTCTTGATCTTCTCAGCAAATATTTGTCGGGTTGTAATTTTTTATTTGTTATCAACAGCCATATTTAAACAGGGCTAATCTTGTTCTAATTCGGTTTGTCATAAGCCCTAGTCTTGATACGTAGAGAAAATAAATGTTAATTTGTTTTTTTCTTCAGTATGTGTTGTTCCCTCATCCCTCATGTACTGCAGTTAATTTTTTTCAGTAAAAATAATTTGAGGCAGTAGGAATCACATTTGGACCTGAACCTTCAACAGAAAAGATTTCGGTAAGAATACTTTGAAGTGTGCAGAGGGCTGGGGACAGGGCTCTGCTTATGAGCCTGATCTTGTTACTGTCCTCCTGCCCTTTTTTTCTACCTAAGGGTGCACTTCTGAATGACCCCAGCTTGCTGAAGGTGCCTGAGGCTGCAGCAGCCCTGAGGGCCAGTTGCTGCCTGTGCAGGCTGGGTTACTGGATTACATAGCTCACAGGGCCAGAATCCCCAGGTTTATGTGTATATATTGGACTTCCATATGTCGTGTGTGTCTTTGCTGACTGCAGGGGCAGAATCTGTGACAAGTGGCCAGGGAGGGCAGTGGGGGACTACTGCAGGTTACTGTTGAGCGGGTCATGAGAAGTTTTCACTTTCAGGATAGGTTTCTTAATCAGAGGCTAAATCAGATTCTGGCTCTTCAAGCCATAGTTTGCAAAAGCACGTGTACATATTCTCTCCTTTCTCCTGACCTCACGTGGCCTTGGGAGCTATGGTCCCTGCTCATGGCTGCTGGCTGCTGTTAGAAGAGCATTTTTAAACTCACCTTTCCTTCTGTCAGGGCACCTGCAGATCCTGCCTGGCCAACAAGTCTCAGCTTAAGTTGTACCTTCTCCAAGGAAGCTCTCCCTGACCACCCCAGTCCAGGGCTGCCTCTCAATATTCCAAACCAGGCACTGGCTCCCTATGACTTACAGGCTGAATCTGGTCTGTTTTTGTAATGCAAGTTTTATTAGAACATAGCTATGTTCATGTGTTTACATATTATCTGTGGCTGTTTTCAAGATATAGTGGCAGACGTGGGCAGTTTTGATAGAGACTGTATGGCGCACAAGCTTAAAATATTTACCTTTTAGACCTTTATGGAAAAAGTTTGCTGACCTCTCTCCTAACTGACAGGGCTTAATGTGTGCACCTCTCAGCATGATGTATAATAAATGTTCCAATTTTGCACTTTGCAAAACTCTCACTTAAGTTTGGCATAGGCTTTTAGTATTTCTCAGACATTTCTCTCACTGAACAAATAACCTCAAAATTACACTAGGAGATTGGGGTGAGTTCCCTACAAAGGACAAAGGGGACCCACAGGCAATTTTATTTTCAAAAGACAACATCCATTTATTACTGTTGTCAGGTGATTGCAGAAAAGGTTCTCAGAGCACAGCTTTGGACCTAAACCAGTTCCTTCCAACCCAGAACTCTTGTTACTGATCCCAGTGTCAGAACAAGAATCTTATCAAATGTCCATAAGGATGTGTGAAGATGTAACTTAAATCATTTATATGAAAGTTTAAACACATACACAAAATTAGGTTAGCATTTTCTTCAAAAAATAACACTTCGTGGGATCCTTTTGGACACTCAGGCATCCCACTTTACAGGAATCTGACTCACATAGGTATGAAGGTGAGAAAACACTTAGCCCGGTGACCCAGAGCCAGATTCATTCATTTCTCTTCTCTCCTGCCTAGTGGTCAGCCCATCCCCAGAGTGGAGTACACAGAGGAAGAAACTAAAACTTGGGGTGTTGTGTTCCGAGAGCTCTCCAAACTCTATCCTACTCATGCTTGCCGGGAGTATTTGAAAAACTTCCCTCTGCTGACTAAATACTGTGGCTACAGGGAGGACAACGTGCCCCAACTTGAAGACGTCTCGGTTTTTCTGAAAGGTAAGCTTCACACGGGCTCTCTCTTCCTACCGCACATCCTCATGGACCGTCTAAGGACACACGTGGCAGCAATCGCCCTTTTTCCAATTAAGAGCTCCCTTTGATTTAAAAAGAGGAGCACTGCACCAACAGTTACCTGGGCCACCTGTGGGAAGCAGAGCAGGGCCTCTGGGCGGGGAGATGGATTCAGCTCTTCACCCAGCCCAGGGCCTTGGTGAGGTCTCTCCGGTGGGCTGTTTTATACAGCGAACCCCAACCGACATTTGCAAGTTCAGCTTTGAGCTTTTTCTGATCCGGGAACGACTCTGTTGGGCTACATAGGCATGGAATGATCTCAAAGGTAGCTTTGTATTTGCTTTGCTAAGAATTATGTACTGGATGAAGAAATATCACGGATAATGTTGAGCATAGTGACTTTCCTCTGGGGAGGAGGTCAGTCAGTTAATCAGATCGCTATTGTAAAGTATAAATCGTGCCCGGAACGGTAGTGCTGGTGTGAGAGCAAGGAGCGAGGTGAAGCAGAGTCCCTTGGCGTCCACGTTCTCTGTGTGGTCACTCTCCTCAGTGACCCTCCTGGGATAGCAACTGGGAAAACTTCAGTCTCTTGCGAGGATGGGGGTGGAGGTGAAGTTTTACAGCGGCCACACTTCCTTCGGTGTCCTTCACGGCGGGTAAGTCCTCGGGTTCTCCTCTTTTCTCTCTCTTCCCCATTTCAAGCATAACAGTTCTAAAAGCTAAAGCCTTGCCACCTACCTCTTTCCCTGGAACTCCTTTCCTCACCTGTCTTCCCTGTTTCTATCGGTGATGATAGATTCTCTAGACTCATCAGGCTCTAGGGATTCCTGTTGCCGAAACTTGGCCTCTGTTCACTGGTGCCGAATAGAAACACGGAGACAGAGTTCGGGGTGAAGTAGAAAAGAAGAGGTTTATTGCTTTGCCGGGTAAAGGGGTCCACAGCGGGCTAACGCCCTCAAGACTGTGTGCCCGCCCTGGAGGGGGTAGCGAGCAGTCTTACAGTGTTCAAGGAGCAGGGCGTGGTCGGCTCGTGGACGTTCTTCTGATTGGTCGGTGGGGACTTAATTGGGAGCCAGCATCATCAACCTTCTGGCTCCAGCCGGTCTGGGGTCTAGAGCTTGTGGACAGCATACAGTTAACTTCTTCCACCTGGTGTGGGTTTCAGTATCTGCAAAACAGCTCAAAGGACGTGGCTCAGAATATTATCTATATAGTCCTTGAGGAAAAACTAAAGGTCCTTGACTTTGTTTAATGGCTAAAGTATTATTATTTTGTCTTGCTTGACTGTTTTCCTTTCTTTCTGCATTTTCTCACTTCTGATTAAATTTATTCTTTTTTAAAAATTTAATTTAATTAATTTATTTTTGGCTGCGTTGGGTCTTCGTTGCTGTGCGTGGGCTTTTCTCTAGTTGCGGCGAGCGGGGGCTACTCTTCGTTGCGGTGCGCGGGCTTCTCACTGCGGTGGCTTCTCTTGTTGCGGAGCACGGGCTCTAGGTGCGTGGGCTTCAGTAGTTGTGGCTCGCGGGCTCTAGAGTGCAGGCTCAGTAGTTGTGGTGCATGGGCTTAGTTGCTCTGCGGCATGTGGGATCTTCCCGGACCAGGGCTCGAACCCGTGTCCCCTGCATTGGCAGGTGGATTCCCAACCACTGCGCCACCAGGGAAGCCCCCTCCTAGGGTTCTGCTCGGTTACACTCCTCCTCTGAAGTCCTACCCCCACTCCCCTCCCTGCCACACTTAATCAGCCTTTGTATAAGCTTCTTATTCAGCTGTAACACATTACCACAAACTTAGTGACTTAACATGAATGTATTATCTTACAGTTCTGGAGATTAGAAGTCTAAAATCAAGGAGTTGGCAAGGCTGTGTTCTTTCTGAAGGCTTCTGTTCCCTTGCCTTTTCAGCTTCTAGAGTCTCTACCCACAATGCCTTGCCTCGTGGCTCCTTTCTTACCTCACTCCAGCCTTTGCTTCCATTGTCACAAGTCCTCTGACTCTGACCCTCCTGCCTCCCTCTTATAAGAATGCTTGTGATTATATCAGCCCTACCGAGATAATCTGGGATGATCTCCCCAGCTCAAGACCCTTAACTTAATCACATCTGTAAAGTCCATTTTGCCATCTAAAGGAACATATTCCCAGGTTCAGGGCATTAGGGTAGGGGCTTATTAGGAGGGCCTAATTAGGACTGAGCTTACCCCAGTCTCCAGGTATTGCCACTTGTAGCTTTGTGACCCATGGTGAACCTGTCCTTTTCTTTCCATTCCGCTGCTACCATCCACATTGAGGTCCCCATCACTGCATCCTTGACACCTGTTTCTTCTCCTCTCTACTCGCCTGCCCACTGTTTCCAGATGAAGCTTCCTAAAGCATCTCTTCGTTCCTGACATCTCTGCTCAGAAGCTATCAGTGGCTCCCCTTTGATTTTACTGGGGTTGGCGAACTTTTTATTTTTTTGTAAAAGGCCAGATAGATAGTCAATATTTTAGACTTTGTGGGCCAAGAGGCAAAATCGAGGCTATTAGGTAGGTACTTATTATAACCGTTTAAATGTGACCATTAAAAAAATGTAAAGGGAGGGCTTCCCTGGTGGCGCAGTGGTTGAGAGTCCGCCTGCCGATGCAGAGGACACGGGTTCGTGCCCCGGTCCAGGAGGATCCCACGTGCCGTGGAGCGGCTGGGCCTGTGAGCCATGGCCGCTGAGCCTGTGTGTCCGGAGCCTGTGCTCCGCAACGGGAGAGGCCACAGCAGTGAGAGGCCCGCGTACCGCAAAAAAAAAAAATTAAAGGGAGTTCCTTGGTGGCCTAGTAGTTAGGATTCTGGGCTTTCATTGCCATGGCCCTGGATGAAATCCCTGGTCGGGGAACTGAGATCCCACCAGTCGTGCAGCGTGGCCAAAAAAAATGTAAAAACTATTCTTAGCTCACAGGTATACACAAAGAGGCGGCAACCCGGATTTGGACGACAGGCCATAGTTTGCTGGCCTCTGGTTTGTACGCGCACGTTCTGAACTTCTCAGCCTCAACTCACGGCCCTGACTCAGCTTTCCAAGTATGTCTGCTGCTATGACTGCACCGCACAAACCCTCTGTTCTAGCTGTGGGTCTTCATACCACTGCTTAGGCTCTGTGCCTTGCTAGACAAGCCATTCCTTCACCTGCTCAGATTCTACCTGTTCTTCAAGGCTCAGAGCAAGTCCTGCCTCCTTTATGAATCCTCATCATAGGAGCCACCACAGTTTCATCCTAGCTCATGTGTGTATCAGGAGAGAGGTAGGCATGGCCTGACAGCTGGTCCACTGAGAACCACACTTAGCATGATGGGAGGGCCCCATGCGTGGATGTCATCCATGATACTTGTTACCGAGAGAAAGAGATTGAGGACCAGTGATCAGTGTCATTTAATTATCACCTAAATGCATAATGCCTTATGCTGTTGTTTAACTAGATTATATTCTCCCTAACAGCCCTGCCTCTGGCATGTCCCTCTTTGTTTCCCATGGAGTTATGTGCGTATTACATATTTACCATGGTCTTGACTATTCCTATGTGGGGATGCTTTTTACTGCTTTGTTTCTCAAACCCCAGGAATTAGATTACCGTCTCATAAGTTTTGCTGTATCTGTCACCCAACTTAATATTTTTATGAGGGGTACAGTACAGTACAGCACAGTTTCTGGATGCAGAATGCCTGGGGTTGAGTCATGGCTCTGCCGGTTCCTGGCTGTGTGACCTTAGATAGATGAATTACCTTAACTTCTTTGTGCCTCAGTTTCCTCTCTGCAAACAGAGATAATAATTTTATCTACCTTACGGGGTTGGGAGGGGAAACTAATTGATATACCTTAAAGCCCTAAAGTTATTGCTTGACACACATTAAGCATAGCAGAGTTTTAGTTACTATTACTACTATTATTGTTATTGATTTTCACACCTTTGATGAACTGGGTACTGGGCACTCAGTTTGCATCATTCATTGGTACACAGCAAGCACAATGTAAATGTGTGTATTTTTATTTCTTAAATTGACTCACTTTTAAAATACCAAATTTATTTTAATAGGAAACTTTTAAGCAATCGTAGTCACAAATTCAAATTTCTTGATGTGATAGATACATATATTTTTAAATTTATAAGAAAATAAAATACATAACTATTAAACTAAAGGATGCTTCCCCTGTACCCCACATGTGGGATACTGGCTTAATTGACATAAAATTCAAAAAGAAAAAAATACACTTATCTTTTTGATTTTCAGTGGAGAGCAGTCAATCCACCTGAGAACTTTTGGAATGAACTGAACACTGTTAGAATTACAGGTCTGAGGAGGCCTGAGAACAGGGTTATTTCCTTGTAGGTACCCAGAATCCCAGAGTGGACTTGTTTTATATGCTTAATTGGTTTTTATCTTTCAAAACCATTTCTAATCATTCTGAGATGCTCTTCTAATGAGCTGAGGTTTTCAGAATGGGAGTCTTTACAGTGCTGATATCAGAAGAAGAGCCCCTCCTGTTGAAATTTTCTGGGCTTTCATGAGCAGGAAGTATTAAGCAGTCCTTAACTGGGTTAGCAGTCTAGGCTGATTTCATAGATTTTATTGTATTCTGCTTATTTTGTTTTTTTTCCTCTTACCATAAACCAACAAAGCATGCAGAGCCTTCGAGTACCTTTTCAAACTGCGGTAATTAATATAATTGTTTTCATAATATCACAGAAATGGGATATTGCAATGTGGAATTGAAGGGGTTAGGTGGTTTTGACAATAGAAAGCTGTGGTGTGAACTGATTCCAGGATGCCCGTCAAGGCGGTAAATTAGCTTTGTGTTCACTGACCACATACACGCAGAAAGAATCCCTATCTAGGTGTGTCTTTAGAAAGATATCAGGTAATCTGTAGTAAGCATCACTTTATTTATTTATATTTTTTAGCAGCTTCATTCATTGAGGTATAGTTTACATAACATAAAATTTACCCACTGTAACTGTACAATTCAGTGATGGTAGTAAATTTATAGAGTTGTGTAACCATCACAGCAATTCAGTTTTACAACATTTCCATCATTGCAAAAAGTTTTCTTTTGCCCCTTTATGGTTAATCCTTGTTCCTACCCCTAGCCCTGGGCAACCACTGATTTACTTTCTATCTATAGATATTCCTCTTCTGGACATCATATAAATAGAATCAAAACATGTGTAGTCTTTTGCATCTGATGTATTTTAAAAAAAATATTTCTTATTGAGGTCACATTGGTTTAGAATATTATATAAGTTTCACATGTACAACCTTATATTTCTACTTCTATGTACACTACCTTGTGCTCACCACCAAAAATTTAGTTTACATCACTTTAGACTGTAATCTTCTCCTGTGTATTTGAGCTTTCTTATCCTAATTCAACCTCTGAATTTAAATCCTTAAAGGTTTTTTTTTGCCTTTCTTTCCATTTTAATGAATGTCTTATGCCCCTGGAAACCATCATTCGTGAGTGTATTTTAGTCATCCGAAGCCACAAACACGATAGCTGTTAACAGTGTATGTCATTCAATTGTCAAGAGTTTTAGGACGTTGATTACTTTGTTTCTAAAACAGCCTTATAATAATAGGAAGCCCTGCTTGGACCATCAAGTCCTGTCGGGTTAATATTTAGTTGAGTCTTTCTGTTGCCTCTTTAGAAAGGTCTGGCTTCACAGTGAGACCAGTGGCTGGATACCTGAGCCCTCGAGACTTTCTGGCAGGACTGGCCTACAGAGTGTTCCACTGTACCCAGTACATCCGCCATGGCTCGGACCCCCTCTACACCCCGGAACCGTGAGTACCCACACTGTAAAGCTGGGCTGGGTGGAGACCGCCACATTGGAAAGTGGTCAGGGCTCACTTCACTTGAGAGTAAATTGGGTCCAGGAACGCTAAAGACCACTGTTCCTTAGGCCACCGAGGTTATCACTTTGCTTATGATGCTGTTTTACCTGAATAGTCTTATGATTAATGGGCTGCCAGGGTCTTCACTGGGGAGCAGAGAGCAGTAAAGTAGCTGATGGTGACAGAAGTGGGCGGGGATTAGAGCTGAGTCTCCGAAGCCCCCTCCTCTTCCTAGGGGACAGAGGCTCACTGACCAGCTGGGTACCTGGCAGGGTCACTACATTGTTCTTTTCTTTTTTTAGCGCCTTTCAGCATCCCTGAAAGTGTTTTCAGGGTAAACAAAGGTTACTTATAGGACTCCAGACATTGGGAGAGAAATGCTTCTTAGAGTGGATGAATGCTCAAAGGAGAGCTGTCAGAGCTGAGAAAGGCAATCTCTAAATCTAGCCCAGAGGGTTTACAAATAGCAGGCACTTTGTTACTTGCCTTTGAATAACTGGCCCTCCTGAGACCCGTGGTAGCTGCCAAAATGTATGCAGAGAGAGAGAGGGCAAAGAGATGAGATTTTAGCCACAGAGGTCTATAAAATTGGGGGAATAATGTGTTACACTTTTACCAAAGTACTTTCAACCACTTCATTCAGCAAACATTTATGTGCAGTGCTAGCACGGAGGTACAGCGGATCCAAAGATGAATAAAATGTAGCAGCTGTTTTCTTAAAGCCTCTTGCATTCTGGCAGGGGAGATAGAAACATAAATAATTATGAAAGAATGTGTTTAGGCCTGTAAGGGTGTGTGTGTGCAGAGTATCAGAGGAGCAAAGGGGAGGGAACAGTCCCGAAAGGCATTTCAGAGAAAGTGAAAAATTAGTGGGGGTCTAGAAGGGTGGGTAGGAATTTCTTTTTTGGATAAAGCCGAGTGGGGAGGGAGGGGAAAGCTTTCAAGTCAAGGAAAACAACCAGTACAAAGATGTGGAGGCACAAAAGAGGCATAAATGAACAAGGCTTGTTACTTTAGAGGGGCCAGAACGTAGGTATGTGTTAGGGATGAAATGACTCTTCTGTCCACAATGTAAGCAGTCATTTGTCAAAAAGGACCTTTGGGCTTAATTCTGTAGGCAGCAGGGAGCTGTCCAAGGCTCCTAAGCATGATCAGATAATCGTCTTTGAGAAGGATGATGAGGGTGGGGACTTGGAAGTATGGAGAATGAACTAGCTGGAAAACCAGCAGGAGCTCCCATTGCAGTGAAGGAATACAGTTTATAAGCCATCAGTGGGATAGGACCAGAGGTCACCTCTGAGAAAGATCATCAAGATGGAATTAACAGTATTTGGTGACTATAATGAGGGCCAGGAGATGAGGGGGTCCCTAAGGCAATGCTAAGGTTTGTTTTTGTTTTTTGGTTTTTTTTTGGCGGTACGTGGGCCTCTCACTGTTGGGTCCTCTCCCGTTGCGGAGCACAGGCTCCGGACGCGCAGACTCAGCGGCCATGGCTGACGGGCCCAGCCGCCCTGCGGCATGTGGGATCTTCCCGGACCGGGGCATGAACCCGCATCCCCTGCATCGGCAGGCGGACTCTCAACCACTGCGCCACCAGGGAAGCCCAATGCTAAGGTTTTTATCAATAGATTGGGAAGCTGAATGGGTAGTTTTTTTCTAAAATATTGGAGGGGGATTAGGCTTGGAGGCAAGAGGGAATAAAAGAGGGAGCAAAGAGGAGGATTTGGGTTTGGAGCATCCTGTCTTTGAGGGGCCCATGGGTGGGACCTCCAGTTGGAGAAGCCCCTGGCAGTTGGAAATAAGGGCTGAGAGTTCAGAAGTGAATTAGAGCTCCTGCTATCGATCTGAGTGTTTTCTTCTTCCATGACTCCTCTGACCACACAGGCAAGAGGAAGTTAAGTCAGAACATGGAAACTCGGGATTCACTACCTTGGGGTTGTTTTGGCAGGCTCCTTTTTGTGGGTTTTATATCATTCATTTGATTCTTAAATTATTGTTATGATTTTATGAGTAGGTAACACGTGCACATGATTTAGCATTCAAAGCTTACGAAAGGGCACAGTCTGAACAGTGACTTTTTTCCCTCCTCTGCTCCCTTGACACCTGTTGCATCCTCCCCAGGGGCCACCACCGCTACCGGTTTCCACTGTGTCCTTCCAGATATACACTGTGCAAACACAATTCTCTGTAAAGGTCCCTTTAATCCGTATGTATAACAAAGTCCCAAGCCTCTTCCCAGCCACATGCTGTAGTTTGAATCTATGAAACACTAGATCGGGAGTGCTGTTTCCTGCCCAAGCACTTTCGCAGGCATTGTCTTTGAAATGCAGTCCCATTTCCTCTACTGAGAGCCAAGAGGGCAGCTTCTCCAATTTGTGAAGTTCAGCTTGGCTCCTGTGTTTGGTGCTTGTACGCTGCTTCCAAGTAACTGCTTCTAATTGCTGAGCTGTTGTAGTTGAGGCAGCACTAATGAGACAGAGGCGGGCCCTGAAGAGGCAGCTAGAAATGGGAGTGAAAGCAGCGAAAATACATTATCCGAAAAAAGAATTTTGTTATTTTCCTCTTCAGTCTGGGAAGAATGTATTTTGATAGCCTAGCTCTCAACACATATGGGGTGTTAAACATAGGTTGTTTTTACCATTTTACATTTTAAAACTGGTCAGGTACTGGGGCTTGAATTTAAAAAGCAGTGGTAGATTGGGTCGCTTCCCTGGGGAGGTTCTGGCCTGGAGGACAGTAGAGAAAGTCCTGGAGAATCAGTGACTCCTGATTTTCTTGGTGGGAAGAGTTGCTTTTCCATGTGTTTCTACCTGGGTTGAAAGGTCACTGATTCTGCTAGAAGTGAGGCTCTTTCTCCCTTGGAGCACTGCCTGAGGCAGGGATTCTGCACACTGTTGTCGCATAGCTACTTATTTAGATCAGCTGTGATCGCAAGCGACTTTGTCACTAATCGAGTATTGAAGTTTACAAATGATTTCTTTAAAAAAAAATCAATTGGGTCAAATTCAAGGTTATTCCAATAAGAGCATCCCTCTCACTCAGTGGAATGACAGGGAAAGAGACAGAGCTCTAAGTTACATGGGTGTGCGAGCATCACCTGGCATGCAAATGGTGGCAGGACAAAAATTTGAGAAGCCATCCCCCCAATCTCCTGCTCTCCTCTTTGCTTCTCTGGGAAGTCCATTGTGGTCTGTGTCATATTGCACCCTCTGGCCATTTTACCTTTTAGAACAGGGTTTCTCAACCTTGGCACTGTTGATATTTTGAGCCAAATAGTGCTTTGTTGTGGTAGGATGTTTAGCAGCATCCCTGGCCTCTACCTGCTAGACGTCAAGAGTACACTCCCACTCGTGCCAGGTGTGACAACCAAAGATGTCTCCAGAAACTGCCAGATGTCCCCAGGGGGACACATCTTCCCCAGTGAGAACCACTGTTTGAGAAGAAGCAATTTGGCAGGTCATTGTTGTTCTGTCTGACAATTATTTTTCTCTTAGAAGCAATCTGTAGACTTTGTTTCCTTTCTAAAACACCAATCTGACTGTAGCCTTCCCTGGTTTGACCTCTGTTGGTTCCCTGGTACATACAAGGAAAAAGTCAAAAATGTTTGATATCATCAAATCACATCTTCTGTCTCTCTTTCTACCCCCTCCAAAACCTTATGCTCCAGCCATACTGGACTTCTCACCATCCCCATGAGCCTGTTGGTTCATGCCTTTGCACAGGCATGAGCCAGCGCAGGTGGTTCATTTGGCCTGGAATGACTCTTGTGAAATCATTTTAATTCTCAGGATTACAGCTCAGTAGCAACCTTTTCTGTGAAGACTTTCCCAGGCAGAGCTAGATATTCCTGTAGTACTTTTCCTTACTTGTATTTTAACACTTACAACACTGCATGGTAATTATTTGTTCATGTGTCAGTCTCCTTCATCAGAATGTGATTAACTCAAGGCCAGCTGGCAAAGGCAATACGGGAACAAGAAGATCCAGACTGAGGTTGGAGTGGATCCCTGAACCTGGCATATAAAGTAAAAACTGAGTCCACAGTGGACTGAAGCCGTGAATGCCACTGCCACCAGAAGGTGCCAGGTTTTGAGACATGCACAGAGTCCCAGGCTCAGTCTGAGATCTGTGGAGTGAAGGGAACAGGGGAAGTCCCGGCTGCACCCTGTGTGGTGGTAGCACCTCCATCTGCAGGGCTGCAGCCCCTCCACTGCTTCCTGCAGCTCTGCTTTGATTTGAAGAACTGCTGCTGGACACCCCTCCATCAATAAGGCATTTTTATATATTCAGTGTCTTCAGGCAAAGTCATGAACCATTAATGGTGGGATTTTAGACACCAGTTGAGGCTGTGAGGATAGGTCACTTGGACCAGAATAAATCACACCCAGGAGGGGCAACCTGTTTTGCTCATCTGTTTTGCTTTGGGAATGAAGATCATTTCAAAAGAAAAAAGTGGTTGTTCACTGTGAAGCTGAAGGAGAGGAGGGAAAGGAAATGTGAAGCTTGTCCCCACCTCCCCCTTATGAAAATAAGAGAGAGAGAGAGAGAGAGAGAGAGAGAGAGAGAGAGAGAGGCAGAGGCAGAGGCAGAGGCAGAGGCAGGGAAGGAAAAAGAGAGAGACCCAGCTGTACTTCACATGGTGCTAAGAAGACATTTTCCCCCTTTGGGTAACAAACCCTGAGTATAGTCTCACCTTAATGGTAGCAAAGCTCATTGCCCTCTCTTAAAAAACAGTGTCAGTCTGTGATGTGTTCTGAGTTATATTTGAACTTCTTAAATGTGACATCAAGAAGATACGCTCTGAAATTGGCAAGCAGTGGTGCAGGTCCCTGCAGGACTGTCCTGTGTGTGGGTGTGCTGTGCATGTCTGAAGGGAGGGGGAGGACAGTGCACCAGAACAGTGGTAGGAGCATCTCTGGATTCGCCTCTGGAAGATTCTTGCTGGAGAG